ATATTCGATATATTATCGAATGTATATTTCTAATCAAGTTTGTTGACATTAGTTCTAGCTAAATACTTCGCTTTACGCTGAGGTAGATGAAAGTGAAGTGACGCTGCTCGAAGTCAATATACTCCTTTTCGCTTCCTAAACGAGTATAGAATTACGTATATGTAAAATGGAATCAGAATGTTCCATATTATTCAAATAATAAATAAATAAATAAAGCGAAAACCAGCTGAATAACAAGTAATATGATTAGCATCACTGAAAAGTCTGTCAAGTTGGGTATGTCTGACTTAAAAAACCCTGAGTACTGATATTCTATTCATACAAATAAATACACTCTCAAAGACTCTGTTAGTCTCGTATAACATGATGATTACATTATCATCATCAATAAAAAATATATTTACATTACTATTTGAAAAAAGTTTGTTTACCATTTCAGAAAATATTCTACAAGTGAGTTGAAATCCAATTGGTTTTGTGACACAACTAACCTGAAGGACAGATTTGGTTAAATTGGAAATTGCTCTAAAGTTGTCTAATTAATTTCATACACATTTACTTATGAATTTGGTTATATTCAAATACTTTATATAGTAGCAAATCCCTCTTTAAAGATGTTGTTGAAAATATAGACCACGTGCAACCAATCTCCAAAAAAATTAATGTTTGTCAACCAACAATTTATGACAATAATTTGAGGCAATGGGTGCAGAGCTGTCAATTGAATTCGACAGCAACGTTCCCCTGTAATTAGCACCTCGTTATTGATGAGGAGCTAAGAAGTTTTGGGTCATCAATACTAACCAATTGTGATAATCCAAATACCAAAATAAATTAACATAATTGAAATTTTAATATTTTCTCTTTCCCTCGTCCGCTTGTTATTTATTTGAATACCCTCACAAGAGCCATTAGGGCTTTATTGTGCTATGTAAGATGCTTAGATTATGATTAATGAATCTGAGTATTTTCGATGAGCATCCACACTAACCGCCACATCTGTCCTCCGTTTGCCTCGCAGAGTAGTTTCTAGCTCTTGCCTGCTTATATTTTTGCTATCGTTATCTTTAGAAGAATTTAAGCCCAATTTGAATTGTATAGTATTTTAGCACTGTTTATCTTAAGCATAACAGCATTTGTTTCATAGATCTCCCATTAATTACTTACTTTATAGCTAGGTTTATTATTTATTTTACCTACTTATTAATTAAATTTGTTCGTTAGTTATTCGATTTATTTTAACGTAAGAACTTATTTGTTTGTCATTTTTAAAGAAATATAGCTTTTTGTAACTAGTAGCCGGCCGGCTTTCCCTTCCAACCAGTTTACGTATTTATAAAACAAAAATCATTTTACTTTTATCTGAACAAAATAGCTTACATAATTTTCTGTGTTATCATGGGTAATATCACTAGCACTTGCAATACAACACATAAAGAAAATATTTGTAAAATACTTGGTCAACGCATACAATTTGGATTCAGCTTTGGACTTTTAGACTCGAACAAAGAAAACATTGGGACCTTAAAATCAGTGCGCTTTGAGCGTTCAGTCGATGTGGTCGATTCTTATATGAAAGCACACTAAACACATTTGTTTTTGTTATTTACCCTCCGTTCTCTCAAGCATATGGATATATACATATACATTAAGCATACATTTTGTATTCTTGAGTATAGTAAAACCATGAAATGGTTTATCATGCTCATGCAGAATATAGACATTTGCATTATTATTCGTGGTTCTCTTGTGAAAGCGTTGATGAGCAAATCGAAAATAGTAGTTTAAGAAAGTAGTTTAATATTTTCAACTTCCAAATCCTCACACATCCGTACATCCATACATACGTAAGTTAAGGAGTTATCACGCATTTTCGACTATTATATGCAAATATCTATGCATTCGATAGATATTTACACAATAACATTTTAAGTTGAGCTCCCATTAACAATGAGTTAAGGGAGCCTGTTGCTTGAGGTTTTGGGTTAAAAATGTCATCACCCTTTGTTATTCATACAAATATTATTCAGGTGGTTGCATGCGACTGCAGAGTTTTTAATTGTTGCATTAAATTCGTTAGATATTAATATTAGTAATTTTGTTTATATCTATAAATAGAATAAACAAACTTTTAAATTAAATTTGTCTGAATGACTTAATTCACATTAAAGAACCTATATATTTTTGTTTCCTAATTATTCAACTATAATAAATTACTTTATTAAACGAAAAGCTTAAGCAATATGCATAATATCTCTTAATTTTTGTTTTAATATGCAAGGTATTTCATAGTCGGGTCTACAACAATTTCGCAAATTCATTATATGTGGGAAAACTAAAATACGAAAAAAAAGCTTCTTTGCAACAGCGGAAGACGAATACCCTTACGGCTACATAGCATATATAGTAGAACAATTTATTTTAAGACCAGCATTAAGTTAAATTAAAATTGCCAAATATGTGCAACGGATCTGGAGTTTTCCTTTTGAAATTTCCCCAAGCCTTCAAATCAAAACAAAAAATGTTTCTATAACAAATTCAGTTTCATCGCTTCACCCTGAAAAAATTGTTTGAGAGTAAAGTAAAGATTTGGTCATTACCAAACCCTTTTGATTCACTCTATTATTAATATGTAAAAGGTCCATGTTGGCGCGTTACACACTTGGTGACAAAATTCAAATGCATTCGGAAAGGGTAAAAGAAAATGTGGGCAAAGCCAACGCATGCTCGATGAGATTCAATGGAATCGCTCGTACCCGATACGAAATGGTTTTTCTTCCAATCGGGCGTTCGTTGGCTTATTCGTAAAATCCGAATTTATTTACACTTTGAATGCCAAGTTCGGCGAATGTTGTGCACTTATTGCGAAGCCATAGACATTTTTAGTTCAGCAATATTTAACCTAGTATTTGGCTTGGTAACATCTCGAGCCGAATTTTGAAACAGAAATCAATCAATATCTCAACATGGAAAAATTACATGAATATCAAGGAATAACTGGCAGACTCCATCAATGGAGAGACAATATAAAGGAAAAGTATTCTTCTATAAACCAGGAAAACTCAACCAACATTTTTGAGAAAGCCAAAAATACGGCTTTGGATCAACTGAAAGGCAATGCAAGTGCTAACGCGGATTATTCGCACATTTATAGGTATGACATTTTTAAAATCTTATCGACTTTATGTATGTACACTTTGGAAACAGTGCCTTTTATTTCTTCAAATAAATATAATAACACATTTTGATTTATCAATATTTCGTGACATTAAAATCATTAGAAACTAAATATGTTTTTTAATTAAGTCATAAATGGAAACAAAATAAATTGCAATTGAATCCATCTGCTATTTCTAAACACTTGCATATACTGACATTCTCGCATTGCCAACGTTGAATGTGTTTGCTTTACCTCAACCCTGCGCTATGAGTTCTCGAATCGATAATGGAAAAGAAACCATGTGCGTCTGCATATGCTATAAAGAACCTATTCCAAATCGCGTCGGCTGTTCTTATCGCGCCACCTCGAATGTGAACACCCGATAGAAAGAGTGATCCCAATGAGCTTTGGCTCTGCAATTCACCCCTCACGCCTCGATACAAAATATTAATGCTTATCAAATAACCGCTAATACTGGTAAACTGTTCTAATACTTATGGTTCCCTTAATATACACATCTATGCAGGTTATTGAATACACATTTTCTGATCTTATTATATTTGCTTCACAGCTTTTGTTTTCTGAATAATCTCCATTACTTATATTTGATGGAACCCTATATAGATTATATATCTCATATCCTAAGTTATCGATGAGGACTGCTAGCATGGTGTAAAAATAAATTCATTATTTCCGAATTCGATATGAATAGGCGTACTATAGACAAACAGAAAAAATAATATCGAAGAAAGCATAATATTACTTATCAGTAAATATTATTTTCCCTATTTTCTTCATTTCCAAAATAAGGTAAAACATAAAATATTGGAGTTCCAATGAATTAGATGCACATTCATGCATTAAATTTAATACAGTGGAATCCGGCTATAACGACACTCAAGGGACCGGTATTATACCCGGAAGGCGCTATAACCGTATAAATTTTCAATGCTATAACCGTACAGGTTCTATAAGCGGAGTCGTTGTAACGGGATTTTACTATATTCTCTTTACTTAAGGTTGTACAAGTAGTAGACATAGTTTTGTAAAAAATATTTATTTTAACAGCTTATATTTTAAGGTAAGACATGACTAAACATAAATCTCTTATTATATCAGTCGGAAATATTTTCATATTGTGTTATTCATAATGTAATACATACAAATAATTTGAGCCAATATACCCTGAAATTAAATTTTGAATGGGCTCAAGAAAGCATGTTGAGAATCATACACAATCGCCTGCACACTACTCGCTCACTATTCAGATTATATGATCATATTTGTATAATATTTTGTACAACTATAAGATATTCATCACAAAGGCATTTATACATGATCAATCTATCATCAGTTAACGGCAAGTCGAAGAAAGAGTAAGAATAAGATATATTGTATAAACTAACAGATATAAGCTTATGTTGCTTTGCACGGAATTACTAATTTTATTATATTATTTATTGTGTACATAAATTTCATTCAATCTTGCAGCAGTAATAAGTTCACAATAAAACATTTAAAAACAATAAACATTTATCTCTAATGATAACTATTCGGAAGCGACAGTAAATTTTAGACATAGAGACGAGTGACCGATACACTATTGTTACAAACCTTGTGACTAGTTCAGTGAATGGTAGAGTTTGTGTGTCTGTGGTATAGATATGTGCTTATTTAATTGTGTCTAAAGTCACCACATGAAACCCCATAAGTGTTTAGCGGCTACACTAACAAGTTAAAGGTCTATACGCTTATTTATATACTTGGGCCATCGCTATTTGATAACAATTCGACGCAGCCAAGGGTAGATTAGCAGAATACGTTTCATTCCATCTTCAAGGAAAATCATAAATAGTTCGTCTAGCACCAGTCAATGTTGATCAGTGCTCATATAGAGTATTATAACACCCATCTACCTGCCAATATTGTTTTCACCCTTTTCATAGGTCTCTCTTCGTAACCGGCATATGTCAAAATACAAGCAAGAATGCTACAGTCGGGCGTTACCGTATGGAGAATACTTATTAAAGCTCCCAAATCCATTTTCCAATTTGCCAGGGCATCAATCTGTACATGACCTTCTCTACAGCACAGTTGTTCCCGATTTGGCGTTTGGTAGATATATCCGCCATATCTTTTTGTACTTGTGTTCCAAGTTTCAATTATGTGGCAGGGTATACATATGTATATATGTTCGAAACTTCAAGTCGGAATGACAGAAAGACGGTCATTGCAGAAAAGCAACATTTCATTCTCATGAATGAGTAAATAATAGATGGCAAAGAGAATGGAACAAAATAGTTTGTCTCTTCTTTCCTAAAATATGTTTACCAAACATTTCTCAAGCCAATATGTAAAATCGCTCTACTCAACTAGGTCACATACAAAGAAATTCTGTACCCTTCAGAATCTTCATGCGTACAATTCCAAAATTTAAAAATTTTTCTCTCTGTTTTTATTTACCTCTCTCTATCTTGATTTAGAAATATACATGAATACAAAATAAATAGCTAGAGAGAGAGAGAGAGTGAGAGAGAGAGAGAGAGAGGGAGAGAGAGAGAGAGAAACAGACAGAGAGTGAAAATAATAATTTTAAAGCTGTTTAATATAGCTCACCTCTATACTTAAAATTTAAAAGCATCTGGGAAAATTTGCCTACAAAAAGTAAACTTCCTTTAAAATTATTCTCATTCTTATATATGTATATTCCAAAAGCCAACAGTAGTAGTTTAAATTGGGTAATTGCAGTAGCTTAAGTTTATTTTAAATTGGCATGCAAATATCTGTGCCATATATTTGGTGGCTAAACAGCTTTGTCTCTCTGCTGCTCAAATTGCACAATAAAAGGACTTAGACTAATTCGATTCAAGCCCTCTTAAAATTCCTTATTTATTGAAAAGGGTAAATCCAATAACAATAGTTTCCTGCTGTGCATTTAAGCCGGCGAAGCGCAGTAAATGGATTTAATGTCTTTTATTTTTTTTTTCCCCAGATACAAAACCCGTGCGGAACTGGTGCGAGTGTCTGCGGCAGTGATGGGCATTGAGTTTTCGTACGCCGCGGAAACGGCGTTTGTGTCCCCAACATTGCTGAAAATTGGCGTGGAGCATCAGCACATGACGCTAGTGTGGGCTCTTTCGCCTCTGGTCGGATTTTTTCTGTGCCCCATTTTGGGGTCATTTTCGGATCGCTGCAAGCTAAACATGGGACGACGGAGACCATTCATAATTATTTTGTCTATTGGGGTTTTTCTGGGTAATTGAACTCTTAAGAAATGCAATTAAAATGTATGTTTTTACGTTCAGTACTCATGTAGGATTGATTTTGGTGCCAAATGGGGAAAACTTAGGATACTGGTTCGGTGACGTAGACCCCCACCTGCAGGCTGCTGCCATGAACACCACGTATAATTCGACGTATAACTATTTAAACATCGTGCCTCATAGAGCGACTGCATCACAATCTGAGACCGAAACGTATGTTAAGACATCACACCCTTGGGGAATATTCTTTACGGTTTTGGGCACTGTACTACTTGACTTTGATGCGGATGCTTGCCAAAGTCCATCCAGAGCTTACCTGCTGGATGTCTGCATTCCGGAAGATCATGCCAAAGGACTGTCTACATTTACAATCATGGCTGGCCTAGGAGGCTTCTTCGGCTACTCAATGGGTGGCTTGAACTGGGATGAGACTGAAATCGGTGAGTTTATGAAATTAAGGAATTGCCGAGGCTAACTGAATGTTTATAGGTAGACGTTTAGGAGGACATGTGAAGGCTGTATTCACAATAATTACATTTATTTTCATCGCCTGTGTTTCGTTCACAATAACCAGCTTTACTGAAATTCCGCTTTGGGCACTTTCTACTTCATTGCGGCAAAAGGAAAAATGTCAGGCCGACGGCACATCCGCAAATTATGGTACTATGACCAACGATGACGACTGTAAAAGTGATAAAAATTACGTGGAGGTGAGTACATATAATCCAAAAAAAAAATTTTAAAAAAGTAAATAATAATACCTTAATAATGAAACAATACATTTAGCAAATAATATTGAATATTTGAGAATTTTACCTCATAACAAATCTGTAATAAGTAAAGAAGTCTTGTCGGTGTTGCCCGAGTCAGAAATACCCTGTTTATTTTATGTATATGAAAGATTGTAGTTCTTTTAAATATTTGCAACTGCCAGCGGTATCCAAAATATTTATAAATAAAAAATTAGATTTTATTAAATAGAAAAATTTTATACATAGATATATGTCGTATGATTAACGGACGGGCAGATGGATATACGGACGAGCGCACAGGCATATCATATCAAGAATCAGAATATATATTTTTTGTACAAGGTCTGAAATCACCCCCTTATGTGTATATATATTTTTAGTCAAGTCGACAGACTGAGTCCATCAAACCAGATCCGACTGCTCGTAATCAATAGTGACTTCGTGTGAAAGGCAGCGAACTTATAAAACACAATAGCTAGAGACCTGAATCTTCAAGTTAGACAGTCCGACTAGAGCATTTTTTCGAGAAAATGAACATTTGATTCCAAATTTGGATAAGTAAGTTATTTACTAATAAAATTATAATTTTTACATTTTTAAAGCTGACTCCGCCGGCGCCTACCGAAAATTTTGGCGACATCAAAGATAACTTTGACGAGACTTCATTCACTGAGAACCCAGAAGCAATGATACAACCATCGAATGAAGTCGAGGGCGACATTTCGCTGTCACAGAATAACGTGGAAATACAGTCGCTTTCGCATTATTTGCTTTCCATTATTTACATGCCGTATTCCTTGCGTATAGTTTGCCTTACTAATCTCTTCTGCTGGATGGCACACGTATGCTACTCACTCTATTTCACTGATTTTGTCGGGGAAGCTGTCTTTGATGGTGATCCAAGGGCAATAGAGGGCTCGATCGAACAAAGAAGATATGAAGAGGGTGTTCGATTCGGATGTTGGGGTATGGCGATGTATTCCCTTTCCTGTGCCTGCTACTCCCTAATCATCGATAAGCTCATCCAACGATTCAGGTAAAGTTTTCCTTTAAACATTCATAATACAGTCAAGAAATTTACACATCAGGCTTTCCAAAGTTTTTGTGAAACTCTATTTAAATTTATAAGTTTTTGTTTTTATATTATTTTTCTTCAAGGGCAAAAAATGTTTATGTCGGAGGACTTCTTTTCTATTGTACTGGAATGACATTAATGGCACTCTCCCGCGCTAAATTTAGTGTGATCGTTTTTAGTTGGACGGCCGGTGTCATGTACTCGACGCTATTCACCATGCCCTACTTGCTTGTAGCGCATTATCACTCGATGGGCACGGTAAGTAAAAACAAATTTAATAAGCTACTTGGTCATGCCCGACTTTAGTGTTACGTTTGAATAGTATTGGGTATTAAATATATAAATACTTATTTATTACAGTTCGAAGTGGATGGCAGTGGCACTGCAAAATTGGAATCTGGAGTGCGGGGATTGGGAACAGACGTTGCTATCGTTAGCAGTATGGTTTTCTTAGCTCAATTTATTCTATCAATGTGCATGGGCGTAATTGTTAAAGTGACTGGAACGACGACAGCTGTAATAAGTACCGCCAGCTTTTTGAGTTTCTGTGGTGCTATATCTGCCACAAAAATAATTTACCTGGATCTATAATTTATGATATAAATATATGTATATTATTAATATATGTTAAAGCTTCAATACTATAATATAAATATACAACAAAAATCAAGTTAGCAATTATTATTGAAAACGGTTTTATTTAATACGTCTTGGTCAACAAAACTCACATCAGTAACGGGTAAAACTGCAGAAGATACTCATGCCCCCAATTTTAAAGTATCCAGTAATGTAAAAGATATAAATCTTTCCTGTGTGATACGCCCGTATGGGCTTTCATGTACATATGTATCTACTAAAAAGTGTTTTATTTATTTTACACTGAATATAACATATTTTTATTGTTTTGTTTATTAATATTGGCACTTAAGAGTAAATTTCCAGACACGTCATCATTTATATATTCTTAATATTTTATTTGACAATGGTATTATTAATAGGTACAATGTACAATGTATTTCTTAATGCAACAGACAAACGCATATTCTCTTTAACCTTCAAAAGAGGGGAATAATATATTTTAATTAATTATTCAAATTTTTCAAAGCGCAACAGTAATGCATTGGCAAATCGATACCCATATCGATACACTATTTGGATGTGCAGAGTGAAAACATCGCATTATCAGTGCTTTCATATATTTTTATTTTTATTTTGATCGTGTTTGTCTTAGCCATAACTATCAAAATACGAAAAAGAATTAGAGCTAGGGTATTTTATTTTGCTATATTCAAAATTGTTTCCGTATTTTTGTAGGCTTTGGGAAATAGTGGTATTTGGTGTCGTAGAATAAATAAGATGTTTTCCTTTTCAAGATTGATGTGTAGCCGTATAAAGCAATTTCGTTTAAACTCATTTAAAATGTCAAGTATGTTACATTTTACAAGCATTGCACTCAGAAGTCGCAACTTCACCAATTTGACCAGAGCAAATGCACTACAAAGCATTATGTCGCCTAGCAATTCTAAATGTATGGGCTCATTAGTAAATGTACAGCATAATGATAGTAAATTTTTCATAAAGATGGATAACGAGATTGCCTATTTGAGATATAATATTGCCAATGGAATCATGTATGTGACCCATACTAAAGTTCCTGACAAACTGAATGGACAAGGTCTTGGGAAGCTATTATCTAAGGTATTTGTATACCCTAGTCGCTTGCCATAAGCTGTTGCCATGATAACTAGCAAACAAACAAACATTTTGGCAAAATCTATTGCGCCGTAAGGCCAGTCGGGCCCAATAATATAAAATATAGCAATAGAAAAGTGATTACCAGCTTAACTAAGAATAATTTTTATGCTTAATGTGATATCTAATTATTGTTGAACTAAAAGTAATGTCTGTGTCTCTTTGCAGGCAGCTTTGGAGTATGCGATACAACATGATCTGCTAATAAAAATTTCGTGCCCGTTTGTAACCCGTTACGTAAAGAAATACGAACCGCATTTCCTTAAGTATATTTTGTGATAAATGTGAAATTTTTTAATAAACCAAAACCCAAGCATCAACATGGACTCGAATGACTTTAAGAGCTTAGTTCTGTGCTATGGAAGACTGCGCTTCTATAATTCTATGCAGAAAACGTCCTTGGACGGATTGGCCAAGTTCCCAATGCAATCAGAGTTTAGATTGTTCAATGGGATTGCCCTCGCTCTGGGTAATCACATGCAGGAGTGTATTCGGGAGTTGAACCCGTTAAAAAACGACCCGGAATTGGGCTTTGCGGCCACCATGACCCTTATTTACGCCCACAAACACTGTCGTCTAATGGACACCGATGCGATTGACGCACTTGAGCAGCGAGTAGAGCACGGAGGTAATAATCTCAGCTCCGGCTCATGCTATTACACGGCTGTGTTTCTATACTTAGTGGGGGAGCTCGAAGGGGCCTTAGACTATATTGGGAGATCTATGAAAATAGACGGCAATAGTGATGCTGCGCTCGTCCTGAAAGCATGGTGTGAGCTCTCGTCGAGTGCACATCAGACTGGCAATGGGAAATGGCAGAGTACGCTGGAAGGTTGCATTGCCCGCAGCAATGGCAAGAACATTGACGCATCGTTGGCACTCGTGCGGTTTTTTCAACAGCGGCGGCAGTTCGATGCGGCTCTGTCGGTGATAAATAAGCTCAGCATGCGGTTTCCGGACATAAGCATTCCTCTTATCGAGAAAATGGAAACCCAGCTGACCGCACTCGACTGGGACAGCGCGCTAGATACTGCCAACAGGATCGTCAATATGGAGCCCTTCAACGTAGCAGCTCTGCGCACTAGGGGCATGCTGAACATCGTGCGCGAGAGCAACTTTAAGGCCGCGGCAGCTACACTGCAACAACTTTTAATTTCCGTGGAGCGCATTGAACCGAGTAATCTTACCCTAGCTGTGGAAATATGCCAGCTTTTCTCTCGCATATGCTCGCGAGACAAAGAGCTGCTCAAGCTGACACTGCGCTGCATTGAAAAGGTCAATGAACTGAATCCTGGCAACGTGAGCATCCTAACAGAAATGGGCTATCAGAAACTACTGATCGACAATGTTCCCGATGCGGAACTAGCATTTCGCTCGGCATGCAACGTCGACAGCACCAACTTCGATGCGCTCTGCGGCCTAACTTTATGCAAACTCAAATATCGCGGCGACTTGGAGAGCAGACAGCAGGTTCAACAGCAGTTGGCGTATCTCATGAAGCTCACGGACTATAAGCCTGAACCCTTGGTTATGTATATGTCTGCTTTGCTGGCCGATTCGAAGGAGCAGGAAGCCTCGACGGTGCAGCTGCTGGTTGAAGCAGCGGATATACATTTTAAGAAATTTAATGCATTGCCCTATGGTGTTGAATATGTGTGCTCCATGAATCCCGACTTTATGCTGGATATATGTGGGGAGCTAATTCGACATACTCCGGCTCCAATAAAAGAAGTTTACTATGACTTGGATCTGGGCCCGGAATCCTTACATATCACGCTGAAGCACAGCCTCAATATTCTGGACATCGTACTCCACATATGTCCCGGACACCAAGGAGTAAATATTTAATGCCAACATCTCCATCAGACAAGCACTGATAATTATCTTATTGCAGGCTCTTTTTCTGCAAGCGAAATTGGAGTTTCTTTCCGGGGAGCATTCGAAAGCCATAAGCCGCCTGCAGCACATTCTGAATTTATTCGGAGACACTTTTACTGAAGCCCATCTTCTATTGGCCCAAGTACTCGTGGAAAAGAAGCAATACTTTCAGGCTCTAGAGTACTTGGAATTGGCTTTGGCACAGAATTTCACAGTGCGCGAGCGGCCCATGTATCATTTGTTAAAGGGCATCATACTTAAGCATCAGCAGAAGCTATCCGAGGCTCACCAGAGCTTTCAGCTTGCACTGAAATTGGTGGGCGGGATGTCGACTGTAGGCCAGAGGCATGATTACATTGCGCCGACGGACAACAACACTATAACCAGCTCTGACAAAATGACGATATACATTGAGCTAATATATGTGCTGCGTGAAATGGGCGATGTCCAGGGTATTTTTGAAAGCGAGCGCGTTCTGCAGTCTGCCATTGAGGAATTTAATGGAACAACCGAGATGGGACGTTTAGTCATTGCCCATTCACAGCTGATGCTTGAGAAGTGCAATGTTACCGAAGCTATAAATCTCTTGTCTACAATCAAACCGGATCAGTCCTATTATATACAAGTAAGTGGAATAGTGGAAGCTGAATGATAAAGATAAATCCGCAAAAAAATATCGCGAGGAAAAGTTTATATTTTTCCAAATTTCCTGTTTCCAAATTTCAAATCTCAGATAAGCAAACTTGTGTATTAAATATTATATCAAATATAACTTATTTTATTAATCACATTTATATTAGGCAAAAACACATTTAGCCAACATTTACCTGAAGTATCAGAAAAATCGGAATGCATTCTCGCAATGCTTTAAGGAATTAGTTGAAGCTCGACCGGAACCTAGAAGTTATTTAATGTTAGGAGAGGCCTATTTGTCCATCCAAGGTCAGCCATTAATATTCTAGAATTTTACTCAAAAATACATTGATTATTCAATATTATAATATTCAATATTATAGAATCGGATATGGCAATCGAGGCATACCGAAAGGCTTGCAGTATTTGTCCGACTAATGCCTTACTTGCTAGAAAACTGGGTAGATCCTACGTCAAAACCCATCAATATACAAAAGCTCTCAAATACTATCATGAGGCAATACAGAATCCAGGATATTCTGTCCTCAAACTAGACTTGGCTGAGTTGTTTTTGCAACTAAAGCAATTCCAGAACGCTGCAAATATATTAAGCGATAGTGACAAACAAAATGCGTGAGTTATCAGTTGAATCAAGTTTGATATGAAACGTATTACATTGGATCTTATTGCAAAATTCGGGTTTTAGAAATGAGGACAGTCTCGAAGAACTGCAGCTGCAAACCAAACAGCTGTTACTACTGGCTCGCATCCATGAGAAATCTGGAAATATTCCTGAATCGCTAAAAACCCTGCAACGTGCCCGAGACAATCAATATCGCGTGCATAAACTGTGCACCATTGGCCATGTTGAAAACCTTTACGAACAGTCTAAAATTCTGTCAAAGTAAGTGCGAACTCTTTAACTGTCATATATATATATTATTTAACTATCTTTCGAATAAGCTGGGTCAAATAGTAAAGTATATATACTTTTCCATCAAGCTTTTGACGGTGAAAAAATCATACAGTCCACCGAACCAGCTTTCAATTTATCGCAATATGTTGTTTCTTCAAAAGTGCTTAGTAGTATAAATAGCAAATTTTGGATACAGCATGGTCTGCATCCGTTTTGCCTTACGTTCGATGGCTCAATATCGTAATTTGACAAATGTACAGAGATCTCCTTTTATGATATTTATAGTAATATATTTGTAAATGGTAAGACTCTTAAGCAGGATAAACTATGTTCGTTGTCTATAAATCTTATGAATATTTAGAATTCGGCGTATTTCTTTTAGCATTGGTGCCAAGTTATTCGAAATCTCTAGTCTGTTTTGTAGCTTAGTTAATAATATTTAACGTGAGGTACAGCATATTTGAAATCAATACAGACAATTGTATACGTCTAGCAGTGAACTTTTAAAAATCTTTTTATTTAATGCGTACAAAGGCTTATTAATCTACAGACCTTTGCGATATTTTTCGCCAACCGTAAAATCGGTCATTGCTTTACCAGCCGTTCCACATGTTCCGATTCCAACTCGTCCACTAACATTATCGGGCGATGCGAATATACTATTCACTTTCATTCCTGGTTTCTTTTGATTCTTTGTCGTAAAACTAAGCCATTTATTTTTGTCAGATTCGCGCTCTTCTTCTAAATCTTTAAAGCGCTGCTGTTTTTTCTGTTTTCTTTTCTTTAAATATTCTTTTTGATTGGGTCGATGCCGTCTGCGGAAAGATTCAGATTATTAAGCGAACAACATAGAAATTCAATTTATTTTCATACTTATTTGACGGAAATACTTCGTTGCGGGTTGTGCGCTCACGCAATTCATTTATTGTAGTTGTAGAACGGTTTTGATAGGCTTCAAAGATAACACTTACTTCACCTTTCCCAGTTATACCCTCAATTGTTGCGTCGTAGTACTGGCCGTCCTCTGTCCATTTCGCCTGGCACTTGTCTCCGATTTTCCAAACTTTCGCGGATGTAACAAGTTTTTCAGCTTCTAAAAGAGCAGCTTCAATTTCGTCAAAGTAATTTGACGACGCTGTTTTGGAAGAAGATGGTTCTACGTACGATGATTTTCGTTGCTCTTCAAGTTGAGTTTTTATCAAGTCTCGCGTTAGTTTAATAACCTCTTCAAGATCGTCTTTTAATTTCAAGAGTTCTTCATTGCTGGGATCTGTTTGAAGGGCAGCTTCGACCTACAAAAAGAGCGCAAAACAATTATTTTGTATATGTATAAACATACATACATAAGCTTATCACAGATTGTTTTGCAGTTTTATTAGCATATTCATATGTATATACATGTGAAATACGTATATATAAGTATATACATACGCATACATATGTGTATATGTGAGCAAACATAATTTGTAAATAGTCTTATATATGCATATACCTACGAAAAATAGTACATTTTAACGCGCACTACAATATTTTTTCTACACAAATACTCACTTGCTGCAATTGGCATTTGTAGTTTTGTAATTCGTCGGCCATAGCAACTCAAACTTCACAAATTTCTTAATAAAACTATTTCTTGTTTTCACTGTTAGCGATGGCAGTTCATTCTAAGGGTGCTCGATTGTCAATGAAATATCGGAACTCTAGTTATTTGCCTCATGAAATTTTTAATATTGTTTGTGAAGTTTGTTGTATTATTATTTTTTTTTAATGAGTGGCTATACTATAGTATTAAATGTTAATATTACAATGTATTTATTTCTGTTTCTAAAAACTGTTTTAATAGATAATCGACGAAGCCAACAAAACTATCGATAGCCCTTTAAAGATGTTTCCATTAGTTACGTTTCAGCACTAACCAGTTTATAAGTTACTCAGTTTCTTGGGTTTGCTTTTAAACCGTCTATGTTTATGCGTTTACTTAAAGAAATGTTTCTTAAATGAGAGAAGTTTCGAAAGTTTGGCATTATATGAACGAAAACTGTCTATGAGAAGAGGAATCTTTGACATACAGAACTAAACAAAACTACATACCTAAAATAAATAAACTAACTAATAAGTAACATTTATTTATTATACGCATTTTTATTTTTAATTTGTTTCTAGTTTCCTTACAATTAATTTAAATAATTTTTGTATTTGTATTATTTTAGGATATGTATTCTAATTGCCCAACAGTCAATTAAAATCAAGAATAGCGAGCTAGCATTATATCATTTTAAGGAGTGCGTTAAGTACACTCCTAACGATCTTGAAATTTTAGTCTCTCTGGCACATCTTCAAATGGAGTCTAAGGAAATGGATTTGTGTCGCAATACTTGTCAGCATATACTTCAAATTGATGGCAATAACGAGACTGCGTCAGTATTAATGGCAGATTTATCATTCAGAAAGGTATCTATAAAGTTTAGAATAGTTACTAAATAATTTGAAATTGTTAATATTTATGCTCTCTTTTTTTTTAATTTATTAACGAAGAATCATTTACACATATATAATTTAACTAAATTTATTATAATTTTTAGATGGAATTTAAGAATGCAGCATATCATTTTTCGCAGCTGCTATTATCTCAGCCTTGTAACTGGACAGCTTTGGCGCGACTAATTGAGGTTATGAGACGTTCTGGTACATTGTCGGAGAGTCTGCCTTTCTTAGAACGTGCTGAACAGGTCTCATTGCAGTCTAAAAATTCAGCCGGATATGCATATTGCAAGGGATTATTCGATTGGTACAATGGTAATTTAAACAGTGCCTTACGCTACTTCAATCAGTCTCGTAGAGATCATATCTGGGGTCAGCAAGCAAAGCTAAACATGATTGAAATATGCATAAATCCCGATGGAGAGATACCGAATGCAAATGATCTTATAGACGCGGGAGATAGCGGTGAATTTAGCGAGTCGCGTTTAATCGCCTTGCGAACAGCCGAGCGTTTGCTTAAAGAAATGCGTCCACGAGCTGGAGATGTCTATGAAAACACCTTGAATCGTCGAATTTATTGGAATTTTTTGCAAATGGCGTCAAAGCAAAAGGTTCAAGTTGAACTAGCACTAAAGGACTTAACTGAGCTTATGCAGAAAGAAGGCAATCCTTTAATGGTCACTGTAGTATATGCTATAGCATTGGCTCTAGTTCAACTGAAGCAAATGCAGCGTGCAAAAAATCAACTTAAACGTATAGCTCGTCTCAGCTGGAACTATGAGGAGGCCGAGTACTTAGAGCGAAGTTGGTTACTGTTGGCTGATATTTATATTCATGCGAACAAATTCGATGTTGCAGAGACATTTGTAGAGCGCGTCCTTGAGTACAACAAATCAAGTACAAAAGCCTATGAACTGGGCGGATACATTTCAGAAAAGCTACAGTCTTATGGGGATGCTGCTAAGCAATACCAAAAAGCCTGGGATAGCTGTGGTCACTCTAAGCCCCACATTGGCTACAAATTGGCATTAAATAATATGAAGAAAAAGCAGTATGCTGACGCTGTTAATATTTGCCAGCAAGTCCTAAAATTACATCCAGACTACAATATTATTCGCAAAGACATTCTCGAAAAATGTCGCAATAACTTAAGAAATTGAATTCATTCTTCTGACAGAATTCAATATTAGTCGCTAAGATATATGTACTCGAACAAGTATCCAACTTCAATTAATTTTTATCACATAAATACAAATAAATATATATTTAATTTCACAGGAAAATTGTAATATAATTATTTTTCTAGTTATTGGGATGAGGAATCAATTTATCATTGCAAATTCTCATTTCTCTTTTCAATTAGGATCGTAGGTTTCATAATGGTAAGAAACAAGGAGCTGACACCACCAACCCTTTAAAACCCTCCCATGAAGTTTCTCAACTAGTCGCAGTGTTAATTTTTGGGCTGACCGTTAATGAATGAGTATTATGCAGTTGATGGCATCCGATTATACGTTCTTATTTTTTTGTCTCAGAATGTACTACGCAGTTTAAAATAAAAATTATTTTCGATAGCCCGGAAAAAACAGCCAGCAAAGGCCAAGGCTCGGACAATGAGCATGTCAACCATGCATCTAATGCGTACGGCTTTTCAGTGATTCTCATTATTTTTCACAGAAATAAATGTTCCTTCTTTGCATATTTCTCTTAAGCCTCTATAGTAATATCATATAGAACATACAAGGGATAACGCTTCCTTTAATTAGTTTATCCCATAAAATGGTATTAGTTTTCAGATTTCGGACTAGCTCATTCAGCAATGGAATTAAACTAGGAATGCAAAGCTCTCCCAAATTCAAAAATAAGTGTAAGCCAGAGGTCGGCGTAATTGAATTCAATTGACAACATTTATTAGCCTTAAATTGGTCTATTGTGGTCCAGTATGAGGCAAGCGGCTAAATTACTGGTGATAGTAATAATCTGATATAATATGAATATACGTAGTTCACGTAGTATGGGCAAAAGAAAACTTACTATGCCCGAGGTTTTTAGTTTAAGATTTTCTCTCAAATGTGTCGGTATATACTCTCGAAATCCAGTATTGATTCCTGAACTAAGAGTGAAACTTGAACTTTTCCAACGTGTGTGCTCAAAATTTGTTTCTGTTGAAATATATATAAGCTATAAACGTATTTATAAAGCGAATCGTATGTATAGTATCGTCAGTCCCACAGTTTAATGGACTCAATGTGAGCGGTCACTGGAAACATACAAGGACTGAAAATGTTTTTAAATGTCAATATTTTTTTTTCAGTTCATTTGGGTCATTTTTCTCAATATGATGTGTTAATAATAACATTTGATATTTACAACATTTATTATTAACTTTATTTGAAGGAGTTGGTGAAATTTCAAAGTCGATTATATGCCTTCAACAGCACCACATATAAAATGGCTAGTTTAAAGCTTTAATCATTCTCATCTCTCATAATAATACTGATACTAATTTTTAAGGGCTGAAAAAATAAATTCCGTTGTTAATTAGTTGGTAGTTAGCTTGATAAGAAAGCTAAATAAATAAATGTTGAGATAATTAAAGATTAGTCAAGGCGTGCAAACAAGTCAGAATGAGTGCGGGACTAACTTTCTTTTACAGTAACAGATCATTAATCATCCAAATTTAGTTAATGACTCATTGAACTCTAAGGGACGAGCAACTCCTTTTTGTATACAGAATATAAAATGCTTTTTTCTAAAGACTGATGACCCCTTACTCGAATTCTTATATGCTTTTAACTCGACAGTAAATACAAATTTGATTAGTAAAAGTTTATGCCAAATATCAGGTTTTTTTGTTTATATATAAAATAGCTAAATAATTTATATTTAAATACATATCATTTATCACAAAAAAAAAAAATAAATAAAATTAAAAAAACAAGCGAATTATTTATAATTTAAAAATTAAATATTTGTTTATGTCCATCTCACTTATGTGTTCATGCACCAGTGCTCATTTAATCTCATATCTGCCTTAACGTATCTAACATACTACTGCAAAAAAGTATTTTGAATTCAGTTACCTTTAGCTGTTCATCCAGGAATTATTGAATAAGTTTTCCATCATTCAACAATAACTAAATAAAAACTTGGCCTCTTAATTCTGACTCTTTAAACTAGATATTAAAAACGTGCATTTTAACAAAATTGGTTTATTCATGAATTATTATCATTACAATGGTATAAATTATTCGTACTATAAATATATTTGTAACATAAATGAATGCAGAACAATATTAAATTATTAAGAAAATATTATAAGCAAAATACATTCAGAGGTGATTAATATGTTTGCGTAGTGTCTTTATCAGAACTGAAACTTTGAAGAAAATTTTTGTCATTCGAGCAAAGTTGGCAAACAAATTTGCACCACATGCGTCGCGTGACAGGATCTAAGATAATAAAGTATAGAAAGATAACGAACCCTTGCAGTGTTGCTGTCAGACTGAAAAGGTATGAGAATACGATTCCAGCTTTTATGGAGGATAGAATACCGAAGCACCACGTAAAGCCCAATAGGAAGAATAGCAGTACAGACAGACGTATCTGATATATTAAAACTGGCGTGTCATTGCGCCTCATTGGAAGGGTCGAGCTCGCCAATATATTATATATGATAAGGCAAAAGATTATAAAGTTAGCAATTATAATGATTGAAATTGGCATGATTATTCCAAAATAAAGAGCATAGCCGGAGGGGTAGCAGATGGGACCCTTACTAAACGAATCATGGTCTAGCACAGCCGCTAGCACTACGGGTATGAGAGGTACGCCCCAACAGAAGATCGTGGCTTTCATGAAAAATCTGTTCGGTCGACCTCCGCCGAATACTTGAACATATCGCTTAAACTGCAAATAGGCGATTAATATCATCCAGAAGAACTGAACCAAAACGGAGTAATGGAGCAGGGCTCCAATGGCAACGCAACTGGGTATGATCTTGTTGATAATCAAGTGCAGGGAATATTCTTCAGTATTGATAAAGCAGAGAATTATCATTTGCAAAGCGATAGCAGCCGACAGTTGAAGTAGAACCTTAGACGATGGCTTTTGGCGCCACGAACTAAATATTGCAGCCGTTATGAATATGCCTGATATGCCCAGTAGCGATAAGGTACAGCCCGTAACTGTTATAATGTCTAGGGCCTGGCCATGATTTGGCCGCACATTGGCCTCATCAGATTCCTCCACTGTAAAATTGAAGCCCACTAGGTAAGCAAATGGCGTCAGATGGCTGACCTGACAGAGCACAATATCAGAGCTGATATCTGAGCGATTCGATTCCTGCCTAATACCATCCGAGGCCCAACTCTCAAAGTTCCAATAGCTACACATATCTGTAGTTGTATTGTGCTTCAATGAATCACTCTGCCAGTTGCGGAAGGCGATTGGCAAGTCTTCAGGCAATTGCGTACTGTGTCCGGGCAAGGATATTGAGACGACCCGTCCCAATGCAGATTGGGCAGTCTGATTTGCTTGTGACTGGAAGAGTTTGTCGTTCGAGTAGACTTTGATGACCACAATAGTATTTGTGATTTCCGTAATATTATTTGCAATCAAAATTGTGTCCAATTGTGATAGGAGATTCTCTGGGACATAGGTAGCGAATTGCAGGTCAGGCTCGTTGATGAAGTCTTCTATTTCGTGATTGGACTGCAGGAAGCGATAGTGCTCATTTCGAAAAGCACCTTTCAATGAATACGGAAGCTCTGTGTCGTTATTGTTTTTGAACATTGCGATTCCGGAAATATTCGCAATTAGCGGATTAAGTATGAAATATAATAAATTGGGCGATATTTTCACAGAGACGCCAATATCGTCATAGTCCAATACCTCAAAGTCGGAACTTGACTCGAGTTCATTGGAATTACCAATTCCTCTCAGGTCCGGCAGTACGGACTGCGCGGATAAGGCGTTCTCAAATGCCTCGAGCAGTTTGTTGGTTGAGTTCAATTTGGCAGACATTTTCAACGTCTTTTCTTTGACATCTATTAGATAGTTGTAAATATGTATAAGATCCTGCGTAGTTTCCTTGAAAGCGGTGTAGGCTCGAATTTGCTCCTCAATGGTTGTTGTATTTGTCGTCAAGCTCAGAACATAATTATCCAGATTGCGCACGGACACCTGGACAATATTGGCAGCAAAATGGATGTCGACAGGTATAAACTTTTTGGCATTATCTTGTAAAATCTTTTTGACTTGCTTTACCATTTTTTCCGGAGAGGTCTTTAGCTTTTTGGAGCTTGACAAGTTGAACAGGGTTTTGGTGACTTTCAAGTCTGTTTTGTGCGCTTCGCATACGGGATTTTCATTCAGCGCCTCCCAATAAGCACCCTCTATGAAGTTGCCATTGCATTTCCGGGTGTAAGGCATTCCATTGCTCTGCAGACACAATTTCGATAAGGTGCCCACCTGCCCGATCTCCGCCTGCTTCCACTGATAGGTTTCGTCGTTGTCCAAACGGAACGTATCTGGAAAGCAGTACTCTGTGCTTCGTACTACTACAGTATTCCTACAGTGGGTGTAAGCCGATATCGCCTCCTTCAACAGGTTCCATACTGTCATGCGAACCGAGGTATCGTGCCTGACCTGATCGTCATTCTCAGAGCTATCGTTCTCTTCGCTGCTTTCTTCCTCGCTATTGTCCACTGCCGAGTTCTTCAGCGAGGCGGTCAGGTGGACCCAGCATTCCATATCCTGACCCGTCATCTTTTCGATACGCATAATACGTGCATTATGTATAACTAAATCTCGGGAAAATTCTTTGCTTTTCCTACGCAACTCAGCTAGTACATTCTTGGCAAGTATTTTCGAGTTTTTATTGATATTTCTGCACAGGTTCTCATAAATATTTTTGTTGTAAACTGTGCAATTGACATTCAGCCTCACAGCAAAGGAATGTCCCCGTCTCTCTTTCTCTGCCACTACGCGGGGACTAGTCACCAAATGAAAGTCAAAAGTCGTGTGTCCCTCACACCAATATTCGCCTGGACCCTCGCCAACCAGCTTGACTTTAAAGATCGACTTGGTCCTATCTTTATTTTCCCAAATAAGGTCAATTTTGGCGTTTCGCTGAAGCTCATAGTCAGCGTTGGAGAAGCACCTAACGCCATCATCGTCTTCATTGATGCGCCACAGATACTCCCCATTGTAAACCACTAGAATCAATTCCTGCAAAGCTGCGTCGAATTTCAGCATTAGTTGAACAGGGTTCGCCTGGGTGGTGATTTGTCTTTTATATAGGAACGGAAATTTCAAATTATTTTCAAGATGAACAACTCGCACCACCTCGTCCTTATTCATTGTGATCGCATACTCCTCGTTAAATCTGTCAGCAAAATTGCCAACTTGAAAGAATTCTTTCTTCCTCTCCTTGGGCAGGTGCTTTAGGACCAACCTCAAAGTATTACGTTTCCGAAAATATTCATTAATGCGTATCTCATCTTGTGGATTATTTGATAAATTTTGCCACTCCACCCCATAGCATTCACTCGGACGATAGCTAAGAGCGCCTTGTCCTTTGGGACAGCCTGAGCTCGTTGTGAGGTCACCTTCAAACACACAAATCGCGTGCAATAATTCATCGCAGCCCGTAATCTTTTGGCTAAAGTCGGCCTTCTGCACCTTTCGGTTTTTGTTTTGCTCCTGGTGAGAATAGCGTATGGACATGCATTTCTTATCAGATCTAAAATCTAAGATGTTCGTCTTATCATCCACCACCTCCCCCCACTGCTCACCGGGCAGGCGTATCTTAAATGGCAAATAGCTACTCTCGCGCTGAACTGGCAGCCAATACTCTGTCAGTTTGCTCTCGTTCAAGAACTTTTTAAAACTTACAGCTGCGTGTTTAGATAATTTGTGTGGGAAAATTAGATCTGCCCCCTGGCAAAAGCTGTCATCATACTTCTGAGGCTTCGACGAGACTTTCAAACATAGAACGTCACCATCTTGATCCCTGATTTCCACCAAGTCCTCTGGGCAATACGTCTGATGTCTTTCTCTCTGGTTGCACACGACAGTCTCTGGCACCCACTGTCCAGTAGCTGTGTTGCATTCGCGCACCAAGACTTCGCCACTTTCCTTCCAGCAAAGAAAGTCTTCGGAGGTTGTGTAACGCGTGCCTCGAAATTTCCAATATGCTGTGCCTTCGCTTGTCTCCGTAATGTTGTCTTCGCATTTCTGAACCTGCATATGGTCAAAGAATAGACTTTAAAGTTATGGAACATGATCTCTGACTCAGCTATGACCTTTTTGGTTGAAGTACAGGAAATATGTAGCCACACGAGTAGGAGTAATACGAATCGCTTAGACATTTTAAGAAGCCAGAAAGCATCAATAGATGCGCACAGCACTTTACGATTTATCTTTAACATCTAAAAACAAAAACGCAGTCCGAGTTATCTTTTCATTCTTTATCTCAATTCAGTTAAATTTGTTTATCTCTCTTATCAAATGTGTGTATTATACCCCTTACATTTGAATGAACAAATTGGGTATTTCGTTTCGTTGTTAATAATAAAAAATAGTATATAATAGATTAAACTTGATTTCTCAAATAAATTGACTTAAATTTCTAGCCGGAAAATAATTTAATTTTAGCAAATTTAAAGTACATTTTAAAATATTTGTAAGTGAAATTATTGTTTTTATTTTCTGAGTATATAGTTAATCTATCTGTTTGCCGCATTTTTCAACTGCAGCCGCATAAATAAATAAAAAACAAATAAAAATGTGACTAGAAATGGCTTAACAAGATATTTGAGGGCGTGGGGAAAATACTTTCAGTTTGTTTTTTTTTTTCTAGAGAATTTCCTAAATTTTCTTCTTATTATTAAAATATGGTGTAGATAGGGAATATAATCAATTGGTAAATTTTACGAATTTCAGTAGCGAGATGGAATGAGTCAAACAAATTGAAACATTTCTTCATTGCCATTCTCGTCTTTTTCCGGCACACCAACTAAGAAATCTTCCATTCCATAGGAGAATTGAACTAATGGTCTATTAACTTTTGAATGATTATAGTAAAATACCATAAAAGTATGATATTATATATTGATTTGTGTATAAACTATTTAAATATTTAAACTGCTTTTTAAATTAATCAAAATTTTAGTTACTTAGTATATAAATAATACGATTTTATAACAAATTTTACTGTTTTTCGATCGTGGTTGAGTCGAGCCGTAGAGAATGAAAATGCTAATGCTAATGAAAAACAGTAAGAATAAATAGAATATCAACTTAATTTGGTTCTCGTCAAAAAGAAAAATCTTTCTTGTGAACTTATTCCTATATGACATCCAATCAGATTAATAAATCAGCTTTCAAAATGGAATTTTAACTAAAGAGCTGAAGATGTGCAAGAATTCCTGAAACAACTGACTTGATAATAACCCCTGAAAATTTTTAATAGTTAAGCTCTTCCATTTACGAACTATCAAATAGTGTTACTCATATAAAATGCACATACAACTTTTTATCTATTTTGAATATTATATTCTTTATTTTTCAGGATAATGGGAATCTTTAAGTTACAAGGATACAGTGCGCTAATATACTTCTGCTTACTGTTTTCTGTTTATGAAACAGGTCATGTAAGTTGCAAACATTTACACATATAACATTTAGATTTTACCTACAGCCTAAAATGTTTTAAAAGATCTATTCTTAAAAATCTATATTATTTCAATGGTATTAATGAGATTTAACCATTCATTCAGGGCAACGAATTGAGTTAATCTTGTAAGGTTCGTTGCTCTTCTTTTTGATGCTCTCAAGTCCTAAAGTCCCAGTTGACATTTACTTTGAACTCGTAAAAATAACTCTCTTTTAGGTTACCGTTAAACGCAGCATTGACCCATCAGCTTCCTATCCGCTTATTACTGATGACCGACTGCCGAAAGATGTTATTCCCCAGAGCTATGATATTCATTTAGAGCCGAAAATTGAAGAAAATACATTCTCTGGTAATATAAAAATGAATTTGACGTGGAAATCGGACTCAAAGAAAATTTCGATTCACGCTCACTTTAATTTGGATATAAATGACAAGAAAATTGTACTACGAAAAATAAATACAAATAATAGGTATGTGTCATGGCTTGAGGGTCAAATATGAAATTGAATATCCATCAATTTGGTTTCTTTAGTGATTCGCAGTTATCTGAAAACATATCAGTTGTACGTGGGAGTCGATTTCCAAAGAAGACAATCTATATCATTTACCTGAAGGAAGCCATTAAACAAGGCAGTGAATGCATTTTGGAAATTCCGTTTGAAGGAAGCATTTGGGAGAGTGGCGAAGGACTATTTAAAGGATCCTATTCAAATTGGACTTATTTAGCCACTTACCTACGACCGAATAACGCTCGACGGCTGTTCCCCTGCTTCGATGAACCCGGATTCAAAGTATTCTTAATAAAAATTAAAAATAAAAATTTATGAAATATTATTTACAAATAAATTATATTTATAGGTTCCATTTACAGTCTCCATTACGAGACCAAGCCATTTAATTACGATTTTCAACACTCCGCTTAATCGAACGATAAATCAGTAAGTATAAAATCATGTGTAATATGGGAAGTAGGTTTAAAGAAATCTTAAGTTAATAATAATGAAAATGAAGAAGACTCAATCAGTAAAAAATAGAACTGAAATCAAATTCGGTTTCAAAGATAACAATAATAGCAATAGAGTAAGAGTAAAACTAAGAGAGACTTTATTTTAAAAAAAATTGAAATATAAATACAAATATTTACCCTAATTTTAAATAATTTAATTTACTGAGTTAACTAACTAATCCATAATATTCAATAAGCTGTTGCTTTAAAACTAATTAAACATTTTCCATTTGTTTAAAGATTGTAAACTGTATACCCAAACATTTAAAAGTCATTTAAAAAAATTGAAATTATATGAAAAATTGGAGTCTTATAAAAAAGCTTACATTCTGTCCACTCACATCTTCTTAATATCATTGTCAACCTTTGGTCTTTCAAATGCTTTCCTTAAACGTCTTATCTGGAAAGCATATGTACATTTGTAATGCATATAGTTTTATATTTTTCATTGCAGCTCTACATTAAAAGATCATGTAATTGACTATTTCGATACCACCCCTCCGATGTCTGCCTTTACATTTGGTTTTGTGACGGCAAATCTTATAAGATTTCAAAATGAGATTACAATTGATTCAGATTCAACAATCCAAACAGAACTAGCATTAAGTCTTTGGGGATTTGAAGATAATGCAAACCAATTTAAGGTAAAGATAATAATCATAATCTTAAATTATGTTTTTAAATTTGTTGATATATTTCTTAGGACATCCATCAAAAAGTTATAATTGTTCACAAAGCAATTCAAAGATATTTTGATATATCTTTGCCTTTATCTAAAATCGATGTAGTTGTCATTCCTGAGCTACAAGTAGTGCGCCCGGTAGATAATTGGGGACTTCTGCTGTTTAAGTAAGAACCATTCCCTGAAGCATAAAACATATTTCAATACTTGATAATATTTTTGAATAGAGAAAGTGATCTTACGCAAAATCGATATTATGATATAGCACAGGAGTTGATATATCAATGGATAGGCTCGTGGGTGACTCCTGAGTGGTGGACTGATGCCCATTTAAACAAGGCCCTTGCCAGCTTCTTAGCGGCCGATATTGTCTTTAAGGTGATAAATAACATTTCATAAATACGAGTGCAAATTGCAATAAATAAATTATATATATATATATAGATAGATGGTGGCATCGAGTTCAATGGCAAATATCCTATGACGACGCTATATTCAATATATTACGAGTTTAGTAAAAGATACCCCCATTCCCGCATTACAGCAATGAAGCAAGAGACAATATCGTACAAATTAGAGCTTGTTATCCGCATGCTAAACTATACTTTAGGCAAAGACTCGTTCCAAAGGGGTCTCAGAACATTTATTGAAGAGCATCAGTTTAAGACTTTTGCTGGAAATGATCTTTGGAGTGCGCTAACCAAGCAGGCGATAAAGGATGGAACGCTAAACAGCCAATATCATGTGGATGACATTGTCGACTCGTGGTTTGCGATTCATCGCTTACCTGTCGTAACTGTTCGCAGAGATTATGAGAAACGAACCGCAGCTGTACAGCAAAAACTCTACCTCAGGGAGAGACCACACGACGTGCCTGAACAGGAAAAAATGCTTTGGTGGATTCCAATTGTTCTGAATCGCCAAGATGCACTCAATTTCTCAAATTGCACTCCATACGTGTGGATGGAAAGGTCTCGGGAAATGACAATTGATAACATGCCACCCAGTGATCAGTTTATTATTGTCAACCAAGAAGAAATAGGTCCATTTCCAGTCAATTACGATGAACGAAATTGGCAAATGCTCTCCAACTTTTTACAAACTGAAACCGGCCGAGCTCTGGTTCCAACATACACGAGGTGAGCTTACAAAATTCTTTCTCAACATGTATTTCAAATTAAATCTTGCTGATATTTAAAAAAAATTTCTATAAGCTCTATAAAATATGGTGGGTCAGTGGTTAGTGTCAGTTTAAATTGCTCGATGTGCACCTTTTTTACGCTTTCAGGTCAAAACTTTTGCACGATGCGTGGAATCTCGCATATGCTGGCGATTTAAGTTTTGCAACGGCCCTCAACATGACACTTTTTATGAAATTTGAACGAAATCATATTGTATGGAATCCGGTGTTCACGTTTATTGATCAAATTGGTCGGCATATTGATATGCCAGAAGTCCATAAGAGATTTGAGGCAACTAACAAAATGTGCAGCCTAAAACGCGAACAGCATTAATAATAGCACAGTTTATTATTTTCAGGAATATGTCTTAATACTGCTTACACCTTTATATGAAGATTTGGGTGCGGAAACAGAAGGCGAAGATAACTGGAAAACAGATTTGCGCTCATTGACCAAGAGATTCTTGTGTGGCGCCGGCTATCGACCCTGTATAGAAGAAGCCAAAAATGCATACAGTGTCTGGCAACACCTACCCGATCCAAACTTGGAGAATCCGTCAGTATCCCTATCCATATCCACATAGTATTTTTTCTAAATCCTTTCTTTATCCCAGAGTGCCAAATCATTATATTTGTCCCATTTTTAAATGGGGATCCATGGAAGAGTTTCAGTTCGGTATAGAGCGAGTCGTTCAATTCCCAAAATCACGTAAACAGAACGAGCGAACCTATTTATTGAAGACTCTGGCCGGTTGTCCAACGCAGCCTGAGAAGATTATTCGACTGCTAGAGCAATCGACTCTAGAAGATAACTCCAACTTTACCGAAAACGATCAGTTCTTAATATATTCCTCACTCACGGCTACCTCCAGTGGCCATTACACATTATTAAAATTCTTATCTAGCAACTGGACGACGATACGAGAGAAGTAAGTACACATTAATTTATATTTTACTAACGGGAAATAAAGTCGTATATATATTATATTTAAAAAATAAAAATATTATATAGTAGAGTATTTATTGTCCGATCACTAAGTACACAAAAAAAGAAGAGATTGAGAGATTTAATAGAAAWTAATTTAGATGAACAAAAACTTATATAAAAGCACATAAATACTTAGTGCTATATTATTTACTAAGTTTGACTCAAAGGTTTTATTTTAAAATTTTGTAATACATTATATTATTTATTTTCCATTTAATTTAAACTAATATGGGAATTTTTTTTTTTTTTCTTTTAATTTAATATTTTTTTTTTTGATTATTAATTTGTATCTTTTAAAATTTGAAAATCAAAATTCAATTGGCTGAAGATATTCTTTTATGATAGACAACAACACTGTATACCCTCGCTTACTGCGAATGTGAAAAATCTGTAAGAATGATGTTGACTTCCTCTATTGGTTCACGAAAAATGAAAAATAAAAATCGCCAAACATAATTCCAATATAGAAGAATTTCTAAAACAATCTCTAAATATTTTTAAAATAGCACAAAGGTTACTGGCATTATGTTGCTTAGAAGCATACATATATCGTTGAACGTACATATTATGACCGAATTTTTTATAAGACCTCAAGTGACTTAGAAACACAAATATTAAAATGAACTATATTTTCCCCAAATGACAAATCAAATTGAATCTAAAAATATATACAGTATCTAAAAGCATATATATAATTAATTAAATATTATATTTTCAGATTGATAAGTAATACGAACTTGTGGGACCATTTGATAGGCTCGGCCACTGGATTCTTTTTAACTCAAAAAGGTTACAACATGGTGCAGCAGCTTTATGAAGAGCATGCTGGAGAATTCGGAAGCGCACAACATATAATAGAAAAGTCACTTCGGAACATAAAAGAAGAAGTTCTGTGGAGTGAAGAGAATCTGCCGGTCATCGAAACTTGGCTAAACAACTTTCTTTCCAAAAACTCAAGTAACTCTTCATAAGAAATCATAATCAAATATCAAATTATTTGAGTACTTGTGTTAAAACAAATAAATAAGTGTTTTACATATGGATTTGCATATTTTAGTAAAGATTTTATTTATTTTGTTGTAAAAAATCGTAGGTTTGTTATGCAGATTGTGAAATATGATCCTTCTTCTACTTGATTCTTCTTTAGATATTCGTCATCTTTTAGTACTCGTCACCTTCGTCTACCTCGGTGGTGGAATCAATTCCGACCTCTTCATAGTCCTTCTCGAGTGCGGCCAGATCCTCTCGAGCTTCGGCGAATTCACCTTCCTCCATGCCCTCGCCCACGTACCAGTGAACAAAAGCACGCTTGGCATACATCAAATCGAACTTATGATCCAATCGAGCCCAGGCCTCCGCGATGGCCGTGGTGTTGGACAACATGCAGACCGCACGTTGAACCTTCGCCAAGTCGCCGCCAGGCACCACAGTGGGTGGCTGATAATTGATGCCCACTTTGAAGCCAGTTGGGCACCAGTCGACGAATTGAATTGAGCGCTTGGTCTTGATTGTGGCGATGGCCGCATTCACATCTTTGGGCACCACGTCTCCGCGGTAGAGCATGCAGCATGCCATATACTTGCCATGCCTTGGGTCACACTTGACCATCTGGTTTGCGGGCTCGAAGCAAGCGTTTGTTATTTCAGCCACAGTTAATTGCTCGTGATAAGCTTTCTCAACGGAAATGACGGGAGCATATGTAGCCAAAGGAAAATGAATGCGTGGGTAGGGGACTAAATTGGTTTGGAACTCTGTTAGGTCAACATTGAGTGCTCCGTCGAAGCGCAACGATGCTGTTATTGAGGAAACTATTTGGCCAATTAAGCGATTTAGGTTCATATAGGTGGGTCGCTCGATGTCTAAGTTCCGACGACAAATGTCATATATGGCCTCATTGTCAACCATAAATGCGCAGTCTGAGTGCTCCAGGGTGGTGTGGGTGGTTAAAATCGAATTGTATGGCTCAACGACAGCAGTTGAAACCTTGTAACGATACGAAATAATGTGTTAAAAATACAAACATATATGAACAAACATAAATGTACTCTATATATGTATGTATGTATGTATCAAAATTTGGGTGTGTTCACACACACTTTTCTGATTATCTCATCAATTATTTATGTCACTTACTTGTGGGGCTGGATAAATGGAAAACTCTAATTTGGATTTCTTTCCATAATCAACTGATAAACGCTCCATAAGCAACGATGTGAATCCGGAGCCAGTTCCTCCGCCGAATGAGTGGAAAACTAAAAATCCCTGAAGACCCGTGCATTGATCGGCCAGCTTGCGGATGCGATCCAGCACAATGTCCACAATCTCCTTTCCGATCGTGTAGTGACCACGAGCATAGTTGTTAGCCGCGTCCTCCTTGCCAGTGATCAACTGCTCCGGGTGGAACAGCTGGCGATAGGTGCCAGTGCGCACCTCATCAACCACAGTTGGCTCCAAGTCGACGAACACTGCGCGTGGCACATGCTTTCCGGCACTAGTTTCGCTAAAGAAAGTATTGAAGGAATCATCGCCACCACCAACTGTTTTATCAGAGGGCATATGACCGTCAGGCTGAATTCCATGCTCCAGGCAGTATAACTCCCAGCAAGCGTTGCCAATCTGAACTCCAGCTTGTCCAATATGAACTGAAATGCACTCCCTCTGCAAATAAAAAGAAGATAATTTAATATAGAACTATATAGAAATATGCAGTTCAGCAGACCGTGAAAAACTTCTATCAATATGTAGGTGTGGGTTCATTTTCGTGAGTATTTATATAAATATATATA